TGGCGCAGTGCCCCGAGTTTCACGCACGAACCAAAGGACCCGGATACCAACAAGGCAGTTCTTTCTGCTACCTGCCGTGTGGGATCTAGCGCCGCCTCAACCCACACTAGGGATGGCAAGCGCGCTTCCCGTGATCGGATGGACGAGAAGAGTAGGGTACTATGTGACGAAACTCGACTGCTACGCTGTTCAACCGAGGCATCTTGGCTATAGCTTCACTCATAACAGGTCGCCTATGCCTTGACAGGTACGCGTTTGTTCGAGGCGATTTTCCTTCAGGGTCCATCTGACACGAACCCTAGTATACGGTCTATCGTCGCCGATAATCCTCCCAGGGTCCCCGCCCGGCCAGGGGCGATGCTTGACTCCCCCACAAATGCGGTTCGGTCGGAGCTACCGCCTTGCTTGTCGCTGCACACTACTTAAACCAAGTTAGCATGTCTGATTTTCTTCAGAGCACTTTTGCCCTCCATTCTTCTTTCTTTCTTCTTTTTGTCGACTGGTCGACGTTTCGACTTCTTTCTTTTTCCTTTATTTTCTTTTCCCTGTATGTCTCTCACCCCACTATCCCTCTTGGTGAACTAACTGGAATATTTACCAAGGGTGCTGGCACTTATTTCTAACTAATGCATATCCCTCGTATAATACCGCTGCTCTTAGCGAGTGCGAAATGTATGTATTTTTTTCCTTAGGTTGTCCAAGGCTCACTTAGCTCGTAACAGTCGTCGCGTCTCTGCCCGCTCCCATACCTGTGGACTTTGATATTGAGAGCAATGAAGGCGAGGATCATCATAAGCAACGCATAGAGCAGGCACGCCAAGATGGTAGGGTAATTTCCACAAATACAAGCTACTTGTACTCACATTCGATGACAATAGTAAATGAGATGCTTGACGGCATGTACAACGATGCCAAAAATGCAAAGCATGGCGACGGAAGCGAAGCAACATCCCGGCTGGAGGCTGCATTTGGTCCTAACTGGCACAAGCACCAAGATCAAATCGTGAAGGACGTCGAGGCGATGAAAGACGGGAGGTTGAAGATGGGAAATTCCCATCCCGAAAAGGGTGAAGAGCACCAAGAGAATGAACGTGTGAAAAAAGCTACCGCACAAGGTCACCCGACGACTGCTCGCGGAAAAGCGCAGAGGGAATTTGTGGCACACATTGATCGGGACAAAGTTCAAGAAAAAGATAACGGCGTTCTATGGCTTGGGTCAAAATGGCACGACGATGACTATGGAAGAGCTAATAGGGCTGGGACGTTACTCCATGAGATCAGCCACGGATTTCTGCGGACGGGTGACAATGTACACGTCGATGGTCAAAACACGAAATATCTCGATCAACAACAAACCAATGCGATGCCCCTACCGGATCAAGCTAAGACCGATATAAAGGGTGCATGTACGTCGAGAGAACCGGTACTCTCTACTCCCCATCTGACATTGCTTGATTAGATCTTGGCGATCGAAATATCCCAATTAGGGAAAGACCTTCAGTTGACACAAAAGACGTTATAACCAAAGGCAAAGAAGCTATTCCTCAGCAATGGCATACCGATATGGCCAACTCGGAGAATCCTCATCGAAACGCCGACGCATGGAAGTATTTTGGTGCTCAACAAGCCACGGGTTTGACAAAGTTGGTAAAGGGCGCAGATCAGCAACAGAAGGATAAAGTCCAGTTGGAGGAATTGAACAGACAGGCATTCGCCAGGATGAAGAAAGGAGACTATAATGACGACGAAGATGTATGTATGGTTGCATATCTAATTTTCGAAAATGATAGCTTACGCCTCGTCCACTTTAGGCGAAACTCGCGAAGCTGAAACAAAAAGTCGATAGCTACGTGCCATCATAATGCGAGAAAGAGGGCCTATTGAAGCGCGGATTTTGTATGAAGAGGCAGAAGCCCAAATCCAGCACGGATAAGGCGGCTGAAAAGTCGACGAAAGAGAAGAGTCTCAAGACCGACAAAGCTCCAAAGAGCAAGGCCTCTGCCAAAGACAAAAGTTCAACTCGAGCAAAAGCAAAGAGCGCATTGAAGTCCAAAGCCACCGTCAAAGGCAAGACTGCGAAAGCGTCTCAGAAGAACAAGCTCGCCTCGAAGCAACGGACTGCACTGAAAGGCAAGGCAGCAAAGTCCAAGGCACTCGGCAAGGGCAGAAAGACTCCGAGCTCCAAGGCTCTCGCTAAAGGCAGGAAGTCCAAGACCGCGACGAAAGTAGCCAAAGGCAGGACTGCAAAGTCCAAGGCTGTCGGCAAGAATGCGTCGAGATCCAAGGCTGCTCGCAAAGCCAAGACCACCAAAGCCGTTGGAAAGAACAAGTCCGCAATGAGGGCTAAAGGCAAGACTGCATTAAAGTCCAAAGCCACCAAAGGCAAGAGTGCTTCGATGTCCAAGGCAGTCCGCAAGGGCAAGGCAACTAAAGCATCTGCAAAGAACAAGCTCGCATCCAAGACCAGAGGCAAAGCCGCGTCCAAGTCAAGGGCATCGAAATCCAAGGCCGTCGGCAAAGGCAAGAACGCTTCGAAAACTAAGGCCGTTCGTAAAGGCAAGACTGCGAAAGCGTCTCGGAAGAACAAGCTTGCGTCGAAGGCCAGGGGCAAGACTGCATCGAGGTCCAAGTCGGTCAAGGGCAAGACCGGCCTCAAGGCGAAGGCTGGCAGCAGAGGCAAGACCGGCAAGGCTACTGGAAAGAACAAGGCCATTTCGAAAGCCAAGGGCAAAGCTTCCAGGGGTTCCGCAAAGAACAAGGTCTCTGCCAAAGCTAAAGGTCGCGCTGGATCGAAGAGCAAGGTCGCATCAAAGTCCAAAGGCAAGACAGTCTCGAAGAGCAAGGCTGCGGCCAAGGGCAAGAAGGTCTCCGCAAAGAGCAAAGTCGCCAAAGGCAAGACTGCGTCGCGATCGAAAGCAGTAGGCAAAGGCAAAAAAGCATCGAAAGCACCCAAGGCCTCCGGGAAGAACAAACTTGCTTCCAAGACCAAAAGCAAGAATGCTTCCAAGGCCAAGTCCGTTGGCAAAGGCAAAGGTACCAAGTTGTCCGCAAAGAACAAAGCCGGCGTGAAGGCTAAGGGCAAGACGACATTGAAATCGAAAGCAGTCAAAGGCAAGACAACCAAGAACTCTGGAAGGTCGAAGGCTGTCGCCAAATCCAAGGGCAAGACTGGATCGAAGGCGAAGACGACATCGAGGACGAAGTCGGTCGGCAAGGGATCGAAGACCAAGGTGACTGCAAAGGGCAAGACTGGTTCGAAGACCAAGACGACATCCCGAGCTAAGACATCTAGCAAAGGCAAGACGCCGGCAAATCGCAAGACCACCGCGAAGGGAAGGACGTCTGTGAAGAGCAACGTCAGCTCTAGAGGCAAGAAAGCGACCACTACTCGCAAGACTACCAAAGCCAAGACTGCGCCCAAAGGCAACACTCGATCCAAGGCCGTCAACAAAGGCAAGGCGAACGCATCCAAATCGAGACCTGCTTCCAAGGGTAGATCTTCGTTGGCCAAACCCAAGCCGACTGTCTCCAAGACCGCGAATCGTGGAGGCAACAAGAAAGTCAACGTGTCCAAAGCTCAAACGGCACCAGCGAAGAAGGCCACGCAGCCCAAGAAGAACTCGTCTACTGCGCAAAGGTTAACAGCTCCAAAGCAGGCAGCTCCAAAAGCTGCAGCAAAGCCTGTCCAAAAAGCCGCCCCTAAGAGGGTGACGGTTCCTGCCAAAGCGGGCAAGAAGCCACGGTAAAGGCTGGATGGGAAAGCCCATAGTCGGGAGTTCTATAGAGCTACATCATATGCTAAACTAGGGTATTATCTTTATTTACATTTTATTTACATTATCAGTGTGCAATTTCTGAATTGTAAAACGAAACTAAGCTGGTGATTGGACTTGTTCTCTCGACGTGGGGTGGAAATCGTCGCGTCGTCAATAAGCCACCTCAATTCATGATCCATACGTTTCGCC